ATTTATAATGACCTCATCCAACTGACCACACCAGAGTTGTCCAAATCCTCAGCCCCAGCCAAGGCTTGTCAGCCAAACCATAATAAATTGTAGACACCTGAGCATAAAAATAAGTGTTCATTGGTCTGCTGGGTAGCAAATATTATGAAAGTAGATGACTTGTACAGATGAACCTGAAAAAACAAAGATTCTTTAACATTAGTGTTTTTTTTCTTTTGTGTTTATATTTCTCTTATATTTATATGGGATATGTGTGCCATTTATTAACATGTACAAATAACATAGTCATTATATCATTCCACTATTATAAGTTGAATAGTTGAATTTTTTTTGAGACGGGGTCTCTCCTTGAGTTTACTGTGTAGCCCAGGTTGGCCTTAAACTTGTGATCCTCCTGGCTGAGCCTTCCCAGTGCTTAAGATTACAGGCATGTGTCACCATGCCCAGCTGAATAATTGAATTTTGGGGAGTTTTTGTGGAGACAGGGTCTCACTATGTAACCCAACCTGGCTTCACACTTGCATTGATCCTCTTGCCTCAGCCTACAGCTGAAATTTTATTTATTTTTTTATTTTTTTCCTTGTTTTTTTGGTTTTTCTCCGGTACCGGGAACTGAACTCACGACCTTGCGCTTGCCAGGCAGGCGCTTTTGCCGCTGAGCTAAATCCCCAGCCCCCACAGCTGAAATTTTAAATTGATGAAAATTGTATGTTATAGCTAAAACATGATGTTTTGAAATATATACATTATTGAATGGCAAAATTGAGCAAGTCAGCATGTACACTACCTCACATACTTTACACTTTTTGTGGAGAGAATATTTATAGCATACTCTCTGTGACTTTCAAGTATGCAAAACTTTGTTACCTAAACCGGGTGTGGTGGGGTACTATGTCTTTTGTTGTTTTATTTTTTTTATTTTTTATTTTTTTGGTTTTTTGGGTTTTTTCTGGTACCAGGAATCAAACTCATGACCTTGCACTTGCTAGGCAGGCATTGTGCTGCTGAGCTAAATCCTCAGCCCCTGTTGTTTTATTTTTTGAGATGGTGGTCTCACTGGAATGTGTGGTCCTCCTGCCTCAGCCTCCTGAGTAGCTGGGATTACAGCATGCATCACTGTCTGCAATTAATTTCCTCATTTTTAAGTTGAATTGTTTTATTGCAATGGAATTGAGGTCCTTACACATTTTGAGCATTAACCCCTTATCAGATATTTGCCTTGGTAATATTTTTTCCCATTTCATAGCTCATTGTATTGGTTTTTTTTAGATGCAAAACCTTTTTCAGTTTAATCTAATCCAGTTTTTGTTCTTGTTTTTGTCTTTTTGAGGCAGAGTTTTGTTATGCAGTTCAAGCTGGCCTTAAACTTACTTTGTAGCCTAGGCTGGCCTTGAACTCACTGTGATCCTCTTGCCTCAGACTCCTTAGTGCTGGGACTACAGGCATGCGGCACTATGCCCAGCTCCAGGCTGCTTTGGAGATAATAATTATCCTGCCTCAGCGTCCATAGTACTGAGAAGTTTGCTGGCATTTTTTGAGGATTTTTGCATGTATATATATTATTTATTATATATTTATTAGGGCATTTTCTTATGTTCTTGTCTCACTTTGCTATCAAGTCTCACTTTGCTATCAAGTTCTTGTCTCACTTTGCTATCATAAAATTAATTTGGAAGTATTTCGTCTTCAGTTTTTTGGAAGAGTTTAAAGAGAATTGGTACTGGCGGGTGTGGTGCCTCATGCCTGTAATCCCAGCACTCAGGAGGCTGAGGCAGGAAGATCACTATGAGTTCAAGACCAGCCTGGGCTACAAAGTGAGCTCAAGGCCAGCCTGAACTGCATAGTGAGACCATGTCTAAAAAAAAAAAAAAAAAAAAAAAAAAAAAAAAAAAAAAAAAGATTGGTACTAGTTGTTCTTTGTTTTATAAAATTTTCCTGGTCACTTGTTCTCAGTGTCTTGCTTTGGATATAAATCCTGTACTTAGGAGTAAGTTTCTACCCAGTCTGACAACTCTTTTTGTAATTATGAATGTGATTATATGCAAAGGTCACTGTACCCTTCTGAGGTAGTTCAGTTTATAGTGATCACATCATGATAGGGCTTAAAAAGAATTGAAGGTTAAAAGATAAAAGAATTGAAGGCTATTACATAACGTAATGAAAATGTATAAACTCTGGGTTAGCTGCCCACAGCACACGCAGCTTGCTTATCCATATTTTTAAGAACACTCATTTTTATTCAGGGATTAAAGTACAGAAACTAAATGATACTTCTTTGGTTGGCAGTAATAGGGGTAATAATTCTTTCAAGTTTTCTGCTTTTATATGTATATTTTTACTTGATAGTAATTACATAGTTTTATATCTTAAATTTTATAAGTATTTCAGATTATTTCATGATCTTAAAAATATGTTATTTTTGTGAAACATTTCACATTATTCTATGCTCTTTTTTTTTTTTTTTTTTTTTTTTTGGTCTTTTTTGAGACAGGGTCTCACTGTGCAGTTCAGGCTGGCCTTGAGCTCACTTTGTAGCCCAGGCTGGCCTCGAACTTGCAATGATCTTCCTGCCTCAGCCTCCTGAGTGCTGGGATCTGTGCTCTTAAAAAATTGCGTAATATTTTAGAAAGTAGATGAACCTTGCTGGGTGTGGTGGTGCACACCTGTAATCCCAGCATTTGGGAGGCTGAGGCAGGGAGATTGCTGTGCATTTGAGGTCACCCTGCATTACATAGTGATACCCTGCCTCAAAAAAAAGTAGATGAACTTCTGTTTAATGATTCCTTTTTGAATGTTATTTTATTATTGCCCTCAACTTTTTCTAAGTAATATTGTACTAGTCATATCTGTGCATATACATTTTTTTTGTAGTGGTTTCCTTAAGATTATTTATTTTAACTTGGTGCATATTAGTAGTATGGAACAATGAAATTCATTTTGGTATATTGGCCAAAAAATATAGCATGTGTCAAGCATCAAGGTGACATACACATAAATCCCAGGACACTGGCAGCCTGAAGTAGGAAGATTTCAAGCAGTTTTTCAGTTCCATTATGATCTTGTGGGACCACTGTCATATGTGTAGTTTGTCATGGACTAAATATCCTTATAGAACTACTTGTTAATTTCTTAACTTTCCTTGGAATTTGTCCTCAGAAGCATTAGGACCATAAGGGCAAAGTTATTAAACAGAGATCAGCATTTACAAGGGAAGGGATTATAAGCAGCTCCTAGGCATTTATCCACGCTAGCAGTCTTCATGTCTTGAGGCATGGCAGTTGGCACACTGTGTTCGTCGTCTTGTCCCACCCACCAGAGAGCTAAAAAGATTGACTCTGTGCCAGAGCTCTGGGGCAGCTCTTTTCTCCCTGAAGCATTCAATCTTCAACTCTTTCTGCAGCTGCTATCTTAGACATGGTTTGAGCAGCCTCTTTTACAGAGTATCTTTTCAGCTACCTGGTCTTGCAAGCTGGAATTCTCTGATACTCATCATGACAAGTAGTTTCACATACCTGAGAAAGCCCTCTAGGGGAAATAAAGAGGTTTTGTGGTCTTTGTTTAGCATTTGTTTAATCCCACTCCTTTTTGTGTGTGTGATCCAGAGCACCATATTACATCTCTCTGAATTCTGAGTTTCACAGTGTTAGAGAAGGTGTTCATGTATTTTACTACATTCTACTTACAGTATTTGAGAAAAGCTTATTCCTGGTACATGGGAGGTTTTGCTTTGTGTTTTAGACAAAGTCTCTCTAGGTTGCCTGGGCTGGGCTCAAATTTTCGATCCTCCTGCCTCAGCTTCCCAAAGTGCCAGTATTACAAGCATGGGCTACCACACCGGGTTTATGGACCTCGTATTCTTGAAGAACTTTATTACAGGATGGTTGTATGTTTGGGCTGTATATGTCTTGTTGGTGAACATCGTTGGTGAAATCTGCAGTCTTGAAACACTTAAAAGATTTCTGGTCAAAGTGGGCTGCTAGTAGCTTACTGGCTCCTTGCTTTAGTGTAAGAGCAGTGCTTTTTATTTTTTTTACAAACAGTTTTTTGGGGGTTGGGGTTATAGCTCAGTGGCACAAGTGCCTGCCTGGCAAGCATAAGGTCCTGAGTTCGAGTACCAATACAAAAAAATTTTTTTCAAGCCAGGCCTGGTGGTACACACCTGTAATCTCAGGACTCAGAAGGTTGAGGCAGGTGGATCACCTTGAGTTAAAAGCCAACCTTGGCTACATAGTGAGATCTTATCTCAGAAAAATAATAATAACAATAGTAATAGTAATAATAGATGAATATGAGTTCAGATTACCAGGCCAGAAGTCAGACTTCGGGTTCCTTGGCAAGTCATATACTTTATGTTTGGAAATGTCTGACTGTCTGGTGGCCTGCAATCAGGATAATAAATGGATCAAACCAAGCCCAGCATTTTCAAGAATGCTGAAACAGAGCTGGGCATGGTGGTGCACTCCTATAATCCCAGCACTTGGGAGGCTGTGGCAGGAGGATTGCCATGAGTTCAAGGCCAGTCTGGGCTATATAGTTAGACCTTGTCTCAAAAAAAAAAGAATAAGAATGCTGAAATTTAGCACTTGGGAGGCTGAGGCAGGAGGATCATTGCAAGTTCGAGGCCAGCCTGGGCTACAAAGTCAGCTCAAGTCCAGCCTGAACTGCATGGCGAGACCTTGTCTCCAAAAAAAAAAAAAAAAAAAAAAAAAAAAAGAATGCTGAAACTTTACAAATATGCCTGTACTTTCCAGGTATTTTATGAATAGGTATTTTTTAGTTTTTGTTTTACCCACCCACACATCTGTGCAGACTAAAATACCATCTTAGCCATAGTAATGGTTGGGAGCAAATTGTTACTACAGATGAAGGTATAAGTAAATTTTGAGTCAACATGCTGCTAATTAAATTGCTTACCCTTCTAAACTGGGGCCTGCGCGGCTTATATCTGAGATCCCTGGATGAGTTGCCTATGCCCCGCAACTATGTCTTGTTCTTTGCAGTGTGAGCCATTGCCCTGTGCTGTGTTGATGCTGGTCTGCCATGCTCGCCTGTCTGCCAGGGCCAGGGGACCTGTCCTTTCAGCTTCTTTCTCACACGCAGATGAACACTGGACTTCAGAAATGTAAGTAACCCAGATCCCCTGGGGGAAGATTGTGATCCTTTGCTTTGTCCCTATTATCCCAGAAGCACATCTGGGGTACACTGACCTTGAATATAATACCTCCAAGGTATTTGTCAGCAGAGACAGCAAGAAAGTAGGGCCTGCAAAGGCCCTACCTGTCAGCAGTGGGAGACACTTTAATTGTCAGAGAAATCCTCTTAAATATTACAATTCCCCAATGTATATGGTCTTAATTTTAATTACTGCTGATAGCTTTGTGTTGTGTAACAAAGCTATAAGGAGCTTTATAGGAAAAATAATCACCTTTCAGAAAGGTGTTTCATCTTGGTTCCCATGAGCAAGTTAATGAAAATTCATAGTCCAGGTTACTTATTGTATCTGTAATATAATTTTATTTACACCATTGTATGTTTTGAATCTTTGGACCTTCTGCCATGGAAACAGTTCCTGTTGGCTTTGCTATCTGCCTTCTCAGCCAACATGACCAGTCTACAGCAAGTAAAGGAGCTTTTACACTCAGGATGGTTGGGAGCCTGCCTTCTGAGGCTCTCTGGGCATTCGTTTGCACTTATAAAAGAGGATTGAGCCTTTGAGAACTGTTAGGTTCCTGTCTTAGTTGGTTGAAATTAGAACATTATAGTTCATATATTCCCATATCTCTGCTTCTATCCCTGCACTACACGATGTGCAAGGAGAATATTCTCTTCCTGGCTCATGAACAGCCTTGTACTTGGAGTAGACCTTCCTTTCAGAGCAAAAAGGGGAAATCAGTAAGGCAGTGAGGGTTCCCTTTAATTGGATAAAGTGCTTCAGCACTGTACCTGAATCCTTTATGACAGATGTTAACAAAATTTTTCTGTCAAGGACAGACATCAGATGTTTTTAGCTTTGTGACTACTTTGTGACTTCCTTCTGTTACATCTGCTGAACTAAGGCAGCCATAGATGATATATAAATACATGAGTACAGCTATGCTCTAATAAAACTTTTTTATAAAAACACAGCAGTTAGACTTGGCATGTAGGGAACAGAGCCAACCCCTGCTCTATGAGATCATCACATATTAAAAATGGTCTAGCCTCAGGCTGGGGCATCTGTCAGTGGTAGAGCACTTGTCTAGCATGCACAAGGCCCTAGATTCCATCCCTAGCACTGCAAAGACACAAAAGATCTAGACCAGTGCTGGCCAACCTTTTAGAACTTTCAGTGATAACAAACAGCCCAGTGTGGCACATGGCACATGTGTTATAGGTTTGCCACCACTGGCTGGACTTTTGAGGAAATGTAAGACTCAGAACCTAGCTAGTTCTGAATTTGTCCATTGAATTGAGCCCTGTAAAAGGACAAAGGTGAAGGTGACAGTCTTCCCTACTCCTCTCCTCCCCTCCCCTCTCGTCTTTCCCATCTCTCTTCCCCTCCCTTCCTTTTTTTCTTTTTCTTTCTCTTTCTCTTTTCTCTCTTCTTCTCTCCCCCCTCCTTCCCTTCCCTTCCTTCCTCTCCTTCCCCTACTTCTTTTGTGCAGTAATGGGATTGAACCCAGGACTTGTACACTCAAATGCATCTCCACACTTTACAGAGTCTTGCTTCATTTCTAAGTTGCTTAGGCTGAGCTCAGACTTGTGAGCCTCCTGTTTCAGCTCCTCAGAGTTCTGGGATTACAGGAGTGTACCACCATCCCTGGATTTTATGTTTATTTTTTCTGTTCTGGAGATTGAACCTAGGGCCTCATTCATGCTAGGTAATCATTCTACACACCAGCCCTACCTTTTCCCTTAATGATCATTGGGTGATGACATTGTATGTGTTTCAGGGCCACCCACATAAGTACACAAACTGCCTTGTGCCCAGTACTGAGCTTCTGGAGACACATTTGAAGCATACAATATGATGATAGAGAGGAGCTCAGTTTCTTTCTTTTAGATTCCTTAACAGATGCTAACAGCTTCACCCAGAGATGTGCTTTCAAAGGAAGAGGGTAAACACTGTAATGGCACCTACTTGGGAGGATGAGACAGGAGAATCACATGTTTGAAGCCACTCTGGACAATGTAGCAAGACCCATCTCAAAAAAAGAACAACAAAACAAGGCAAAAAAAGAAAAGATGTAATTCCAGCAGGAGGCTGAGACAGGATGTTCGAAGTGAATTCAGGCCCAGCCTAGGCAGCATAATGAGTTCAAAGCCAGTCTAAACTACATAGAAAGCCAAACATGGTGGCACATGCCTGTAATCCTAGCACTCTGTAGGCTGAGGGAGTTTGATCGTTGCAAACTCAAGGCCAGCCTGGGCTACAAAATGAGTTCAAGGGGCTGGGGATTTAGCTCAGTGGCAAAAGCGCCTGCCTGGCAAGCACAAGGTCGTGAGTTCAATTCCTGGTACTGGAAGAAAAACAAAAAACAAACAAACAGTGAGTTCAAGACCAGGCTGAACTGCATAGTGAGACCCTGTCTCAAAAAAGACAAAAAATAGATAAATAAATAAACTACATAGTAAGACCCTTGCTCAAAAAAAAAAAAAAAAAAAAGCCATTTGCCTTAAGAGGAAAAAAGGCAAATTGGCAACTTTATCATGGTGCTGTCTTTAGATCTTTGCTGCCTTCTCTGAAAATGGAGAAACTGACTGGAAGTGTAGTTTAGTGGTACTATACTTTCCTAGCATGCCTGTGTTCCATGCACGCACACACTGGAGATACCAGTCTTCCCTGGTTTCAGGTTCTCATCTCTGTGTGAGGGTCAATTATTTGAACTCTTAACAGCTTTCTTTTTGTCATATTTAAATATACCCCAACTTTGCAAAAGGTAACATTTAATGGTGCTTTTCAGCTTTCCTGCTGTCTTTTGTCTTTCCCGCAAAATGTGTAAAAAAAAAAAAAATCCTGTTGTGTGACCTATAGCTGCTAGCATTATACATTTATAGGGAAAGTAAAATGGAGCAGAGTTGTCTCCTTTGGCGACTAGAAGCCATGCAGCTGCTTAGGACCCCAGCCCATCAGCTAGAGTGTCCTTAAAAAGTGGGGTTTTTTTTTTGTTTTTTGTTTTTTTTCCAGTACCAGGAATCGAACTTACGACCTTGCGCTTGCCAGGCAGGCGCTGTGCTGCTGAGCTAAATCCCCAGCCCCAAAAGTTTTTTTTTTAAGCTTCTGGGGTTTTTTTTGTTTTGTTTTTTTATTTGTTTGTATTTTTCTGGTACCAGGAATTGAACTCATGACCTTGCACTTGCCAGGCAGGTGCTGTGCCGCTGAGCTAAACCCCCAGCCCCTGGGTTTTTTTTTTTTTTTGAGACAAGGTTTCGCTGTGTAGTTCAGGCTGGTGTTGAACTCACTGTGTAGCCCAGGCCAGCTTCGAACTCACAGCAATCCTCCTATCCTACTTCCTGAGTGCTGAGTTTACAGGCGTGTGGCACTACATCCAGCAAAAATAGTTTTGTGTGGTAAACAAGGGCTGAGAGTATATCTCTGTGGGTAGAGTAATTGCCTTGCATCCAAAGCCCTTAGGTTCTATCCCTAGTACTAGAAACAAAATAGAATAAAAACTAGTTTTGTGACTTGGGCTGGTGGAGCCTAGTTTTAATCCGAAGGACAAAATTAGTTTTGTGACTCTGCTATTCAGCTTTTTCCTGCACCCAGTCCTCAGGAAGGTGTTTTTGTTTTGTTTTGTTTTTGTGCTGTTAGTGATTGAGCTCAGTCTCATGAATGTTAGGTAAGCACGCCCCACCAAGCCACATCTCCAGCCTTTAGGGAGGGTCTTATAATAAGCTGTAAACACAGCGTTTGGGATCTGTGGAGTAAATGGTACACAGGTGTTTATAGTTTAATGTGCTTTAGATTTTAAGATTTAGCTTGGATTGGGTTGAGCTATTAGTGACAGAAGGATTGCCTGACACGTGCAAGGGTCTGGGTTTGATCCTTAACACTGCAGAAAATAAAGTCAGCTTGAGAGGGAGCTTGGGAAATGGACCAAGGGTCAAGAGATAGAGTATGTAGCTTTGTGGCCCAAAATTACGTTATCTGACTAATAGGTTTCCCCACACATCAGCAACCATATGTTCTAGTTCACAGTTTATAGAACTGGTCTCTTCTCAGTCTTTCTCCTTTTCTTTTCTTTCTTTTTCTTTTCTTTCTTTCTTTTTTTTTTTTTTTTTTTTGGTAGTACTAGAATTAATTTTTTATTGCTTTATTTATTTATTTTTGAGACAGGTCTTACTATGTATTCCAGGTTGGCCTTCATCTCATTATGTGTTTCAGGCTGGCCTCAAACTCAAAGATACTCCTGCCTTAGCGTCCTGAATGCTGGAATTCTAGGTGTGAGCCACTACACTTGGCTAATTTTTCATTGTGAGACAGTCTCTCTAGGTTGGCCAGGGTGGGCTCAGGTTTGTGATCTTCCTGCCTGAGCCTCCCAGTTGCTGGGATAGTATACATCACTGCACCTAGCTCAGTCCCTTCTTTTTTTCTCTTTGCTCTGCCTTTTCTCTGTGTTGGGGAGAGTATAATATATTTTCTGGCCTTGATGTGTAACTTGCCATAGGCCTGGCTGGGTTAAAGGACATCTTGGCTTTCGATGGGTCCAGAAGCCGTAGAGGCCGCAAATGGGGACAAGTCAGTGCTCTCCTTGAACTTTTCTGGATTATATATGCCACTGTGTCATTTGCTTTGAGAGTCATCGGTCATTTTGGAACTCTGTGCTTACAAGTATGTCTTTCTGACCCATCTTCTCCTAGTACCCCAGAAAATACGATCGTTGTAATTTTTTCTTCCTTCCCTAAGCTTCTGCTTTGCCTTTCCCTAGCCCAGGTTCCAGGTATGTAGTTCTAGCTCATAAAATATTTACTGTGGCCAGGTATGGCACGTCTGTATGCCCATCCCTCAAAGAGGTTGAGGCAGAATGATTGTGAGTTCAGGGTCATCCTGGGTTATATGCTGTCTTGAAGAATAACTTGGACTTGCCGGGCATGGTGGTACACGCCTGTAATTCCAGCACTTGGGAGGCTGAGGCAGGAGGA